GGGGGGGGGGGAAGACAGTGGCAGTGACACAAAGACATTTCAGTTCTCTATCAGAGAAAAAAAATACAAAGGGGGAATTGCTTTGTAAGTCACTTTTAAGCAGATGGAAAGTGAGCAGCGTGCGGCACTCCAACTGATGCAACGCCGGCGCTGTGACTCACCAACCAGAGTCTGCTGAGCAGAGAGAGATGCAAGAAGCTACAAGCAGGAAACTGTTTAAGAAGTTACAGTTTGAGGCTGGCAGAGTGGAGCTGCCTGAAAGGGAGGGCAGGCTGGGGAGAGGCACCCTGGCAGGTAGCCTGAAAGCTCAACCCAGGAACTGCTGGAACAAAGAGTGGAGCTGGATGGGAAGGGACAGCAGGAAGCCAGGCTCAAGGTCGGCTGATCTAACACTAAGGCCTTAATTCCACCACTCTGCAGTTTCTTTTTATTTCTATTCCTCCATTTTCTGCCCCAATCCAATGTTTCCAACGAGTTTAAATCTGAACTAATGCTGAGAGCAGCGTGGGAAACTCTTGCTCATAGAATTGTTTTTGCCTTGGTCATTTTGAGTCTGTCTTGTCAATTCTCATGAAGTGATAACTGAATTTGCATACTAGTGCGATAAAAGAATAATAGCTGACATTCAATTTACATTTCAATGTTTCATTACATCATCAATTACACCTCCACCTCTTAACTTAGGTGCTTGTTTAGCCTGTGCTACTTCAAGTGCCAGAGAAACTTGTGCTTCAAAATATTAACTGTCAACTCGTTACTGAGCATAATGGCAGGGTAATAACAAACACCCAGAAATTAGACATAAAAAAAAAAAACAATCTAGAAATATCCACTCTAAGAAACTTGCAGGGAAATTTTTATAGAGCACAAAGTCACCTCTCGGCGGCCGCACCCAGCGCAGGGTATGCTGTGTGTCCCAGCAGTTAATGCTACTCCGCAGCAGGATGATGCAACTGCAGGTGTTGTGGAAGCTGGGACCTGATCAAGTTGTCAACTGTATCTTCACAGAACTCCTGTGAGTCAGGGAATTGCTGCTGGCTCGGTTTTGTGAGGGATTTGGGTAAGAAGAGGTGCTCTGTGATTTACCTCGAGCCGGGGAAACCCATGGCAGAGGAAGGCACTCAACATGAGTCCTTCAAGTGGTTCAATAGCATCTCTGCATTGGGCTCCCCTTTCCTACTGTGAGATGACCTCCCTCACCTTTTGAAGCTTGCCACATCACCACTACTCCGCTCTGCTTTTTCTCCAGATGAAAAAGACAGCTGAACAAAATGACAATCAGATGTTTCCACGTTAATAAAATAGTCTGAATATTGGGAAAAGCAAAAGGGAGGAGACAACTCCCAGCTGGTGTTGGCAAGGACTGGTATGATGATGCCTGAGTTAGATTTGCTAAGGCTCTTACGCATCTAAATATAAACAAGCTCCTGACTGCTATTAAAAGCTGGCTCCAAGATACGACAAAACATACAAAAAGTCAGAAGGGATTTCACAGGTTCAAAAAAGGAAGAAGTGACTTCCTATTTGCAGGCACTGTTAAATCTGTTTATATCTGACCAAAGGAACTGTATATATGAGAGGAAGCGGCAAAGCAATAACCCCAATTTGGATTTGCTAGATGACCCCAAAGGAATCAGTTACTCTGTTTTAACTATTTGTTTCTCTACTTTCAAAGTGGAGATAAACAGTCCATCCCTGCCCTAAGCTTGTTAAGCAATCTGAGCTGCAGATGCACGTTATATTAGGACAAGAGCACAGTTGTTTCAAGAACAGACAACGATCAAATAAGGCAACCTTTAAGTTCTAACGGTAACTAAGATTAGAAGGCTGATAAGTGCAAGCAGAAAGAAAGAAACTTTTCTTACCTCCATAATTATAGAAGGCATCTCGCTCTTTCATTTGAACCACTATCCCAACAACATCCACCTGTCTTACTGGATGGCCGTTATAAAAGAATATACCTAGACACAGAACATTTGTGGTAAGTGTAACCGTTTTCTTTCAACATCCTACCCTATATAGTCACATTTGTCAGTAAAAAAAACATACTTTCTTACATATTTAATATATCTTAAATTATACAATGCCTAGCCATGTGAAAAATCCCCTGGATCACTGAGGACTGGAAAAGCTAGAAGGAAAAAACATCAGCTCTACTTAGGATACAAAAAGCTTGCTTTTGTAGAGTGTCAGAATTTTATTAACCTCTCATTTTCTTGCACATTTGGATCTGAAAAGCAGTTTGGTTGCTGCAGGCATTAGGGGTTTTTTAGTTGGTTTTTTTCTTGTTGTATTGTTTCATTTTGGTTTGGTTTTGGTATTTTTTTGGCTGTGGGTTTGTTTTTTATTTTTTTTTTACATCTTCATCAGGCTTCAGAATAAATAATAGAACACAATGGAAGCAGTTTGAGCTTCTCACAATGCAGCTGTTCCTGATTAAGGCAGAGCCTCCAAAAGGAAAACTAACATAATTCTGTCTTTGATTTCTAAAAGAACAGGAACCATGGGGGGTGGGGGGACAGAAACAATCCTCTTAGATTGCAGAGTACTACACAGTCATCCTGGGCCGCATCCTGAACTTCAGCTCCTGAAATAACACATTCTAAAAACGTCCCTTCCAAGCTATTTTTGTGTATCTATAATGAAGACTTGAAGAAGAGTAACACATAAAAACACGTCCAGGAAAACGGTGAGGAATCAGAGCCCAGTGGACTTTGACAGCACTGAGGTTGCCACATGCTGTAAAACCTTTCAAGAGAGCAACAAATGTTGTTAACAAACACTGACATAAACATTATCCACTGAAGCTTCACAGTCCCACTAGCAGGAAGATAATAGGGCAACCAGCTCCAGATACATCCTGGGCTGGCTAATTATCAGTCAATGTGTTTTCTTCAGTTTTCGGCTATCGCTGCTTTACTGAAATATGCCATCTGGGGTGTTCAATAACTGTCTTCTAAAAACTAGATAACTCAAGGGACTCAGAAGGGAACATTTGGCTCCATATACTATGGCAAGTCTTATTCTTACAAAGGGAAAAAGAAACACTGTAGCAAGGGAGTGAGAAAAATGTTCTGTATATAAAAAAAAAAATCAAACCCAAAATCCAAAAATAACTTGTCCTACATAGCTGGCAGCCTGAAATGAGCCTGGAATTAACTTTCTTCATGTAAGAAAGACAAAACCCCCAAAGTTTCAGAAGAAATCACAGCTGATCAGCCAAGCAGCAGAAGTTTTGCTCATAAAAATCCACTGCAATGTTCTGAGGATGCATCTATTGCTGTCAGCTTCGAGCTGGTCACACTAACCAGGCAGCCACTGGGCAGTCGAGAACACTTAGCAGGTCTGTCCACTTTTCTCCATTTCCATTTACCAGGACACCAATAAACACTGCTACAGAAACCCTCCACAGAGATGCTCCCAGTGTATATAATTATTCACTAAACCTTACAAGTCTCTGTAAAACAAGGTCTGGGTCAGTTTCGGGGTAAGTCTGTTGAGCAGAGGTTCCAAGCTCTTGACTGTGTAAAACAAGCCACATGTCATTATGTTCATTTCCCAGTTAGTAAGCTGAGTTTTGGCCAAGGACAGAGACCAGATGAAACTGGTTCTCTCCATCCCCATAAACCTACATCAAACTCCACCCTTACTCTCCCAGAAACTACCTGAATTCATTTGAAAGATGAAATTATATTTACAGTATAAAAAGCTGTTGAACTTGATGACTTCCCGGTGTAAGTTGCTTCTCCTGTCAGCTTATTTGTCCAAATTATGGTAGCAATAAAAATGTACTAAACACTTGAAGCTACGTGCAAGCACGCTCAGTCAAGCTTCCAATAACCCTGTAAATAACACATTTATATGTTGTTACCACAACAGGAAGCCACAGCAGCAGTATGGGGGGCTATAGGTACAGAGCTCTCTAGGGCAAGTTCAGATGATGTCTTTACCAGCATTTCTGAGCACTGAGATGGTTGCCACTGCTTCAATTATTATTACCTCCTTTTATGCTATTTGTAGCTTCCCTTGCTTGAGAAGTTGTCACAATGCAGTGGTGCACGATAGCTCTGAGAAAACCTGATTTCCATGATGTGATTATGTGTTACAACCAAATTTGACACCCACTCTCATTTAGAGGCCTCTCAGACAACACAATTGCTGTTTTTATCTGGGAGGTTTTCCAGCCTTCTTGTCACCATTTATAGCAGGAGAGTAATTGGCCAGGTTTACTGCTTTCCTCTGTGTTGTTTTAAGGGATTAGTCATTGTGGCATCAAATCCTAATGTTTAAAAATGGAAAGAAAAAACTTATTAGGTCATTCAGTCCATTTCCTCAGGTCCAATGCAAGGCTGTTCCGTACAGTAAATTCCTGGCAATCTGTACAGTCAGGATATAAACAGTCCCAGTGGAGGGCATCCCACCTTCTTCCTGGGAAGGCTGCTCCACAGTCTAGCAGATGTCATTCTAAGGATGTTTTTCCTGACATTCACTCTGTGTTTCTCTCTACTCCTCCTAGTTACAACTCTTTGTTTTGAACTCATTCATTCTTAATTACCATTACTTAATGACTGATTTATAGCCAATCATATACTTAGCTTCAGCTGGTGTTTAACAAACCCATTAAAGGCAGGAAACATTGACAACAAACACCTACCTTCTTCCATCCCCAAAATATTTTTTTTTTTTTTTTAGTGTTTCTGCTGTGCTATCCTTTTTTGCCAATAAATAAGATACAATGAAAGATGCCTGGCTTGGTATATACACAGCACCAGGAGAACAAACAAAATTCAGAATGTTTGTTCCATGACATTTCATTTTATTCTGTAAACATTTAGTAAATGATACAGGATTGCAAGCAAGCCTAGTTGTGCAAAATGCCAGATGCACAGGAAGTGGAGAAAGCTTGCATACACCAATTTTAAAGGCTGATATCTTGACACGACAGATACCACTTCCTTAGGATCATCTTAGAAAAAAAAAAAAAACAATAACAAAACTGAAAGAGCTCCTGAAGCAGGAGACAACTCACTTAAATAAACAAACAAGAAGGAAAGTGAGAAGGGAAATTGAGGTAACTCGGAGGTGAGAAAAAAGAGAGCAGGACTGTACTTTCTAGGATTGTTCCTACTCTTGTGAAATGTTCGTTGATGATTATAAGTTCAATTCTTTCGAATTTATTTTTGTGTGTGTATGTACTAATGTCCAAGTCCAAATTACAATCCTGTTGTGTTGACACTGAATTGTTTTGTATTTTGTTTGAAAACAATTAAAATGTTTCTAATTAAAGCAGGAACATTTTTTACCAGATGCATTTTCTACATCAAAGACTGCACTCTTTAAAAAGGCCTCTAAGTACTACTCACTCTAGTACAAACATCAACAACAGACTGTAGCCTAATTGTTGCAATGGATTTAAGACAAGTCTCCCATCATGTTAAACAATAAAGATGTATATATACTGAGCTTCACAGTTTGCAAGGTTCTTATGTTCATAAAAATTATTGCAAGAAGAGCAAAAAGAACACTAGTCCTTCATTTCTGCAAGAATAGCACTGCTGTTACCCTTGCTGTTAAAGAAAAACAAATAAGAATAACAACATCTACAAGGCAGAGCATATTCAAAGAGCCAAACAGATGTACCTTGTCTTTGTGGAGAAGACAAAAAACAAACACCAAGACCAAACCAAAACACACACACTCTGCAGTTTACCACTTTTCCTTATTAATTCTGAGTTCCTTGGGTTCCTCCCTGGTAATCTTGCACCTTGTAAAGCTTCAGTTTGGAGTAATGAACCCTTCTACAGCAGAAAACATACTGCAGTTTATTTAAAGTCTTTGCAGTGAAAACAGAAATTCAAGGTCAGACTCATGTTGCTTTAGACAACGTACACATGTGGGTGATATTGGCTGGAAACCAGCAGGAAAGAGACTGCAAAGCATACAATTCCCAACAATGGTTAGGAAATAAAAGGTGTGGTGTAAGATTCAGCACAGATGCCAAGATTTACAATAAGGTTGTTCAAAATGCATGAAAAATGTCATATATCTATCATATCTAGAAATTAAGCAGACAAAACCTTGAAACCTGTGTCTCTTTTATAATATATTATTATAATATCCAGAGCATAAAGCAAAACACATAGACAAAGCAATGTCATCAACTGTCAAAACTTTGCAACAAAGAGAAGAGGCATAAAATCCTTTTCAAATGTTGCAGAGACAGCGGGAAGATATAACACATATACAGCAGTTACAGAATCAACTTTATCAGAATATAACAAGCACTACCACACAGAGGAAACACAACATTACCTTAATATAAAAGAGTTTCTGTATCTATATATATGAGAGGAAGAAAAGCCATTAGAACAAACATATTTTATTTTTCATGGATTTCTCATACAACCTGTTGTTCTTAGAACTGTTAAACAAACTAACATCACTTAGCTTAGGGACACAGAAAATTACTGGTGTTCATAAAGTGTTCTACGACCCCTTGATAAAGAGCATAGAGCACAACATAAATCAATTACAATTCTGTGTGCATCATTATCAGCACATAAGTACATACCTGGCACTTGTTTAGATTCTCTCATTTCTTTTATATCTTTAATATAGAGTCTTGCAAATGCAGAAAATACAGGATCCAGTCCCCAGTATAGAGAAGGCATCTCTTCTTCATACTTCTTGGACTTGGACTGCATTCAAAACCTATGAACACAGAAGAACTTGTAATTATTTTCCACACAAGTAAAGAGCTGTTCACATAGGTTCTAACTGAATGAAAATACAGCTTGAGATTTTACACACAGTAACACAGCAGAGCTGATGAAGAGACTTATCTAATACAATGTTATCTTTGTGTCACCACAGGAAAGATTCAAAGAATCACTACTGATGATTTACTTGAAGTACTGAGAGCCTGTAGCAATAGCATTTTGCCCAGCTCCTTCAAATAAAATAGAATTTCAGGGATTTCTCCTCTATTGATCTGTAATCAGAGAATCAAATACAACACTTCTTTAAAAGAGCAAGATTGTGAGATACTAGCTGGTTATTTTCAGTTCACCTGATTATTTCCCCCCTGCCATCGTTCTCTTTTCCTTCCATATTTTCCTCATGGTTCATCCTGTGCTTTATTGCAGTAGTGCAAGAGGCTTATTTTATATAAAACAAAAGTAGCCAGCTCTTCTGTATTTCTATACAGTCCTCAATAACCATGTAATTGTTACTTTCCCCTTTTACCTCTTCAGATTACCCTGTTTAATGCCTGCTATCTTCTGCCATTACCAGAACCACTTCTCTGCCTATCACAGGATTGACGACAAAAAAAACAGCACTCAATTCAGGAAGATTTGTAGAGATTTGGAAGCTGAATATAATTGTTATTATCTTCTCCTGTATGGATATCTAAATTGTTCCTGTAAAGCAGGTCACCCTTGAATGGGTGTCAGCCACTTCCAGCTGTAGGGCACAGGTGGCAAGTGGGCTGATTGTGAATAGTGTGTAACAGGGCTGAGGTTTGGCAGCTACAGTCTCCTGAGAGGGAGCAGCTCCCTGTTAGGGATTGCCAGTGTCCCTGTAGTCTGCAGGAGATACTTCTAGCTACTGATGTAGAGGTGACATGCCATGAATATCACGATAGCATCTTGCTTCTTTGAGAAACAACAGAGCTTGGATTCTGCATGATTTCAATTTTCACACTTAAACTTTAATTTGGGGCAGAAAAGCAGAGTGTAGCACAACATGCTAGAGTGCTGCTGACATCTATTCTAGACTGTGAAAAGAACTGCAGGTGACAATCATATTAATTTCCCTTTTTTTAATTATTTTTTACTTTTTTAACAAAGGTTAGTGTTGCTTTGACTTCCTTTAGACAGGGCATTTGTTTCGTGAAATGATGAAAGCATTTGATTTAACCAGTTCCACCAGTCACTTCACCTTTGAGTAACAAACTAAATAGTTTTGTTTGCACCTGGATTTACGTCTCTTTCCTACAGGCAGCATTTCCCAACCTGTCCCTTTTGCACATGCAATGTCTACTCAAATGTTCTCACCATCCTTTTCTCACCCAAGCCTTCCCATGAAGCACACTCTTCTGCTGCTGAATTGCAGACACTGCTCAGTAGAAATTTATAAACTAAGCTGTTAACTGCATGATCTTAATAATCCTCCATATGGCAGTTCTCTGGTTGCTTGCTACAGTCTGTGTCAAATTTAGACCATAAACTTTCCCAAGCAAAGACATGGTTTGAACCTGTATTTTACTTAGCATGTTCATTTTCAAAACAAAATTAGTCTTCCCCATCCCTCTCTTTTTGCTTGCAGTCACTAGAACAAAATGGCCTGCATTGTCCCTATGCTACTGTGCTTTTGTAGCTTCTATAAAAAAAAAAAAAAACGGGGGGGAGGGGAAAGAGGCAAACAAAAGAAAAAAGAAATTTAGCTCAACAAAAGGTCATGGCAAATGAGAAGAGTTCACACAACAATCGATAAACATACTCACTACAGTCAATCAAGGTTAACACATAATGAGTTGGAATAAAGAGAAGCACTACTGGTCCCCGTCATCCTGCCTCCCACCCACAAACAGGAACATTTAAGATATAATCTTTTACTTAATGGTGCTACAGTCCCTGACTGTTCACTTTTAGTGGCACTTCTCCCCTGACAAGAAATATGGATACAATCAGTCTTGTTCGCTAAGATCATCTTTTATACAAAGTAATATTCCTTTCTGCACCATGCCCCCCAACTCCCTCTGCACAGTTACAGTGTCTGTCACAGACTTGGTAGAAGGGTCTCTTCTCCCAAGTCACAGGAGATGGGACAAGAGGAAATGGCCTCAAGTTGTACCAGGGGAGGTTCAGATTGGAGATCAGGAAAAATTTTGACACAGAAAGGGTTCTTAAGCCTTGGAATGGGCTGCCCAGGGAAGGGGTTGAGGCCCCATCCCTGGAGGGATTTCAAAGCCGGGTTGCCATAGTGCTTAGAGCCATGGGTTAGTGATGGGTTTTATCAGAGTTAGGTTGCTGGTTGGACTAGAAGATCTGAAAGGTCCCTTCCAACCTAGATGATTCTATGACAATTTTATGATAGCTCAGCTCCCATTTTCTCTCCTAGGCAGACTGAGCTAACAAGCCAAAAAGAGAGACTCGGGTAACAAGGCTACCTAACTTTTTGTGTTTTGTGTGAACCGCCACTCTTGGGAGTAAAAAGCAGAAGTCATCCCTACACATGTGTACATCTGAGAGGAAATCAATGAAGCAGCACCACTGGAGATTAAAAATATCTGCATTTTGGTATTTCAGTAAATGGTTGCCAAGTCTAAAATACCCAAATGTTAACAGATCACTAACCAGAAATAGAAACAACCCTTATAGCTTAAATGAAGCATCTCTAAATCTTTTACTGTTTCCCTGTCCTGAAGGGAGAAGGTTTCTGCAGGAAAAGCTCTTTCTCTCAAACTACTACGAGTTAAATCTCAAATTCTGGAGCTTCCTTCTAGCTCCCAGGCCTTGTTATAGCTCTTCACTGGAGAAATTCACACCCATCACACATATTTTCAATGTACAGCACCACTCTGCTTGGTTCAAGTCAGAACAGACACACCAAGTTTAATCTTACAGATCTGGCAAAGATTCCTTGCTAAATAGTAAATCACGCCCCCAGCACTATGAAGGTACCAAAAGGTTTCTTGAAGTGCACGGGACAAATCTGCTCAAGTCATGAGCTACAGACACTCCATCCACACAAGGCTGGGACACTGAAACCACACTCCAGCCACTCGCTGGCTTTCAGCAATGTCTGACTGGCACACGAAGAACATTCTGCAGCACCGTCTCCCCTTGCCTTTTCATGGTCCCAACAGCCCTCCCCACCTCTGCCACCACCCAAAACCAAGCCCATTCTCTTCCTTCCCTCCCAAACGGCCACTTGGTAGCTATATTTGAACAGTGACCTATTAAAAGCCAAAAGCTTATGGCCTGCTGGGAGGCAAAGATATTTACTGCCTCCTGTATTGCTTGTCTCCACACACTCCTATTACGAGGCCATGGTCGTGGTGTTAACAGCAGTTGTCTTTTTGCTCCTACAGCAAAGATGTTAAGTCAGAGAAGCAACCCTTTCCAAAGTATCTATCTTTCAGTTAGTTTCCAAGATATATAGTATTAGAAAACATAATTCTTACAAGGCAGATAAAATTCTTCCAAAAAATTTCTCTTTTGTTATATAATAGTATCTTCCCAGAACTTTTTCTTCAGTTGGCACAGGAAGCGTCTCTATCCTGGGCAGAATATCCCAGGGGTTAATTCATTAGTGAGTCATCCTGGCGAAAGTGGAACTTTCCATTCTGCTGGAAGTGTTTTCAGCTCCTAACTGGTACCATTGGTGATACACTATCAGCAAGGAAGATAACAGCTACCCCGTACAATGAAGATCCAAGAGGCAAAGAGCAGGCATTGTGGGGATGCACAGCGTTATAATCAATGAGAACACAGACAGATAACAATAGACAATTCTGAACAGATACTATATGCACAAATGTTTAAGGATTAAACTGTTTTTTTGCTGAAAGATTGTGATAAGGCTTAGCAATACAAACAACACAAAGTCCTAGCAAAAGGTCATCCCTTTCGGCATCATGTTTTAAATGCAGTGTAATGACCTTACAGTTGCTGGAGTGCAAGGAATTCAATCCTGCTACAGGAGAAAAAAGGCAAGAGAAGCATCTGGTCCACAAGTTTAGTAGATATAAGATATCCACATTGTTTTTACCTCTCTATAAAACAACTCCAAAGAAAGGCTATAAAGGCATAATCCAAAACAAAAATAGAATTAAGTTCTGCTATTTGGACCACTTCTTGGGAGAACAATTCTGTTTCAAAGGCAAAAATCTAAAGTTTACACAGTAGTTATCTAACTACAAATAAACAAAAAGCCTAATTTGAGATTATTCTAAACACTAACCTATTAAAATAAGGCTGTCTCTTTCACCCTCTATCAATGTTAGCTTTCCTGACTGTAGTAAGAATTAAACCATGTCCGTAATCCTCAGAGTTATCTTGTGAGCTCAGCAAGGTATTATCCTAAAAGGGAAACAAGGGAAACCAAGGAAAACTGGCAGCCTTCCCAACAATGCCACCACCCAAAACCAAGCCCATTTTTTTCTTCCCTCCCAAGCAGCCCTACCTGGTAGCCTTGTTAGAATAGCTCCCCATCTAACACCCGAGTCATTTGTTGAACAGGATCAGCCCTGGCCAATAAATTTCTGTTGTCCTGTTGTACCTTTTTCAAAAATGGTAAGTGATTAAGAACTGGTCGTCTTCCAATCCCAGCAAAATGGAAAGCCCAAAGAAAAGTACCTGCTTTAATGATCCTTCTTGTCTTTTCTCTGGATTTGATTAACAACAAAAGCTTTTGAAGGAAATTGCCCTAGTTTGAGATGAATTGTTTGGAGCCATAGAAAGGGTATCTTGCCAGCAGTTGTCTGCAATTACTCTGCAACTCCTGGCAGACCATTGCAAAGATTCTTTTCTCAAGTTAGCTGTGAATCAGAAGCAGAGAATATTTACCCACCAATACGGGCAGCTTTAACATCCTACCAGGCATTCACTCTTCTCCAAAGACTGCCACTGCTACACTAGCTCTGATGAAGCACAGGAAGCAGCTCCTAAGCTGTTAGAGTTGCCAACCCAGTGCATTAAACCAAC